TTTGTCCTTTGTTGAAACACCATACGTTGGTAACAAAGATAATGTTTTCTACACATTCGTCTGTTCGCCATTATTTTGTCCTTTGTTGAAACACCATACGTTGGTAACAAAGATAATGTTTTCTACACATTCGTCTGTTCGCCATTATTGTGTCCTTTGTTGAAACACCATACGTTGGTAACAAAGATAATGTTTTCTACACATTCGTCTGTTCGCCATTATTTTGTCCTTTGTTGAAACACCATACGTTGGTAACAAAGATAATGTTTTCTACACATTCATCTGTTCGCCATTATTGTGTCCTTTGTTGAAACACCATAGGTTGGTAACAAAGATAATGTTTTCTACACATTCGTCTGTTCGCCATTATTTTGTCCTTTGTTGAAACACCATACGTTGGTAACAAAGATAATATTTTCTACATGTTTATCTGTTTCTCGGTGTTATTCGTTTTGTTTAAATATATTATCATACATTTATCACGACGATAATGCTTTCTGCAGATTTAAAAGTCTATTTTTTGTTATGCCTTTGGTTGAAATATTTTGATTACTTACCGTTGTTGTCCCCTACCAAGACAGTGATTACACATATCGTCATGATGATGATGGTGGTCGTTATCATGATGATGATGATGATGACGAACTGAGTGAGTGTGACCACTCCCATTACACCAGGTACAACAGATCTGCAAGTAAAAACAAGTAAATGCAGATACAGGAAGTGTTGTTCTTTCAGTATAAAAACTCCATTATGGACTTTTAACATGAAATTGTATGATGTTCTGTACTACTTTCAGTGTAAAAACTCCATTATGGACTTTTAACATGAAACTGTATGATGTTCTGTACTACTTTCAGTGTAAAAACTCCATTATAGACTTTTAACATGAAACTGTATGATGTTCTGTACTACTTTCAGTGTAAAAACTCCATTATGGACTTTTAACATGAAACTGTATGATGTTCTTTACTACTTTCAGTGTAAAAACTCCATTATGGACTTTTAACATGAAACTGTATGATGTTCTTTACTACTTTCAGTGTAAAAACTCCATTATGGACTTTTAACATGAAACTGTATTTTGTTCTCTACTACTGGAGGAAGATCAAACCACAGTGTTAACTAAAAACAGTTGGAAATGGTATTCCTTTTGAAACTTTTCAAGACGTTTTGCACCAGTATCTGGTGTTTTTCAACAACTCTTTATCAAAATAACTTAAAAATTCACAGTTTAAAAGAGGGATTTTTACATTAATTGAGGCTAAAAAAAAATATATATATAAAGAAAAAAGTAAATGAATATAAAATACGTATAATTTTTGGATCATATACATACACTAAGTTTATTTAAGATATTTAACAACTGGATGGTTCTTTTGATGACATTAATTGATGGTCTTAACCACTGATCGGATTTTTTGGTGACGTTATTTGGTGGTCTTTAACCATTGATTTGATCATGGAATAATGGTGGCTGTGTCTTTTGATGACGTTAATTGATGGTCTTTAACCACTGGCTGGGTCATTGAATAATGGTGGCTGGGTCTTTCGATGACGTTAAATGATGGTCTTTAACCACTGGATGAGTCAATGAATAATGGTGGCTGGGTCTTTTGATGACGTTAATTGATGGTCTTTAACCACTGGATGGGTCATTGAATAATGGTGGCTGGTTCTTTTGATGACGTTAATTGATGGTCTTTAACCACTGGATGGGTCATTGAATACTGGTAGCTGGGTGTTTTGATGACGTTAATTAATGGTCTTTAACCACTGGATGAGTCATTGAATAACGGTGGCTGGGTCTTTTTATGACGTTAACTGGTGGTCTTTAACCATTGATTTGATCTTTTGATGACGTTAGTTGATGGTCTTTAACCACTTATTGGGTCTTTTGATGACGTTAATTAATGGTCTTTAACCATTGATTGGGTCTTTTGATGACAGTAACAGGTGGTCCTTAACCATTGAGTTGATCTTTTGATGACGTTAATTGAGGGTCTTTAACCATTGATTGGGTCTTTTGATGATATTGGTCGTTGATTAACAAATAGTGTTACTGCTTCAGAGAATATTTCAAATGGAGATTGGAGACATAATTCATTTTACTACGGACATAAAACTCTACAAATCTAAACTTGATAAAAGGTATTTTAGCCGTTTCCCAAAACAAATGAAAAAAATTGAAAGTTTTACTATAGTTTAAGTTACCTGTCCAAGCCCTATACAACGAGAGCACCTTTGCCGTCCATTCCCGATGCATGCGTGGCACATCTTTGCATAAGCAGTGTGAGGGATCTCAAGCTTGATCTGTTCGTTGATGAACTGTTTACTTGGATTAACTGGCACATCCCAAGGAGATGGAGCTGGACCATTCATTGCAGTGTCCAAATGCCTTCCTGTTGTGAGTCAAAGAGATATCTGATGCACGTAATTAACAATTGTAATTAGCACTAACATGTCTGCAACGTTACAAGCTCCCTCTATATATAAGCTTTGAAATGAAAGCGACCATCCTTCCTTGATGTATCTGGTAATTAATTCAGTCAGTACGTAACTTTGTCCAAGATTTTGCCTATTGTCCAGGGTTTATTCCAATTTTATAAATTTATTTAAAATTCTACAAATTTTAAAAAGATAGAACACATATTCATATTTAGAATTATATTCAAGTAAGTACAGTTATAAATATCCAACCATTTGTTTAGAAAATAAATATATTTACTTTTGTGAAGTTAACCATATTATGTCCTAAAAACCTTAAATTTATTCCAAAATTGTAGAGGGAAGAACCATAGTTATTTCTCTGATGAGTTCTGGATTTTTCTTTTTCGAAATACGACCAACTTCTTTTAACTTATAGGTTTCGATACGTTAAGCCTATAAATAATCACACTTAGCATCACGTATCAATTAGGGTAACAGCTATCTGATTGCAGCTTGATTATAAAACAAAACAAGTACGTAGTACACATTCAATCCACTAGAGCGCATACTCTGACAAATAAGAAGAAGGCTAGCTTAATAAATTCACGAAATGTGTAGTTGTGATTTAGTATATTTTATTTAAATTGTAACACTTAGTTTCACCTTGAAATCTTGTGCACAGTCTGTTAATTTTAGCCGAAACATTAACGTACAAAATATATTTATTGTCTTTGAACAAATGACATTTTGTCTAAACATAGTGTTAGAAGGCCTATAATTTTTGTCGAAAATTAAGGGTGTTTGCAGAGTTTTACTATACAGAAGCTGCTAGTCTAGTTGGATATTTATTTTTCACAGCATTTCCAAAAAAATGATGTGCAGGACGAAGGCTCGAGGTTCGATACGGCGATGAAAAAATTCCATGGTTCACACTATTTACTAAATAATAACCCTGTATGCGGCAGATGTTATTTACTGGTTGACTTGCTCAGTTCAGCAGTTCTAAACTACGGACGGCTAAGCCTTAACCTTGGGGTTTTTAACCTGACAGATTAGTCCATGTGTATTTAATTAATGTAAAATGTACGTTGAAAATAAATATTAAAATAGTCTTTACTAGCTTCAAATCTCCATGTGTTATCTTTAGACCAATAATAGAGGCAACTTTACTAGATCAAAACTTTATATTAGCTCTAGACTTAGAACATGCTCAACACGGTATAGAGTAATAATAGAGACAACTTTACTAGATCAAAACTTTATATTAGCTCTAGACTTAGAACATGCTCCACACGGTATAGACCGATAATAGAGGCAACTTTACTAGATCAAAACTTTATATCAGCTCTAGACTTAGAACATGCTCCACACGGTATAGACCAATAATAGCTGCAACATTACAACATTAAAACTTTATATCAGCTCTAGACTTAGAACATGCTCCACACGGTATAGACCAATAATAGCTGCAACATTACAACATTAAAACTTTATATCAGCTCTAGACTTAGAACATGCTCCACACGGTATAGAGGAATAATAGCTGCAACTTTACTAGACCATAACTTTATATCAGCTCTAGACTTAGAACATGCTCCACACGGTATAGAGGAATAATAACGGCAAGTTTTCCAATTGAATTAAAAGATTAATTATTCTGTTTTGTGATTGATAGCGAAGGCTGAGTATTGTTCTCTATAACTTTTGATATATTGTATGTTTGTGTTGTATTGTATGTAAAAAAGTTTATTTGTTTGTATTGTATTGTATTGTATGTAAAAAATGTTTATTTGTTTGTTTGTATTGTATGTAAAAAAGTTTATTTGTTTGTGTTGTATTGTATGTAAAAAAATTTATTTGTTTATTTGTATTGTATGTAAAAATTTATTTGTTTGTTTGTATTGTATTGAGGGTAAAAATGTTTATTGGTTTGTTTGTATTGTATTGTATTGTATGTAAAAATGTTTATTTTTGTTTGTATTGTATTGTATGTAAAAATGTTTATTTGTTTGTTTGTATTGTATTGTATGTAAAAATGTTAATTTGTTTGTTTGTATTGTATGTAAAAATGTTTATTGGTTTGTTTGTATTGTATTGTATGTAAAAATGTTTATTTGTTTGTTTGTATTGTATTG